AGTATCCCATCGAATTTCTATATATAATCATAATAATAATGCTTTCTCAAGCATGAGAAGCGAAAAAAAAATTTTCAGGAAAAACAAATTGGACAAAAAAATTTGAGAATACTAAAAAGAAGTTTCACTTCTGTCGCGCGTGGACTCCACGCACTCTGTTTTTTATCAAACTCTTTGCGTGCGCTTTGGTGAGTTGCATAATCGCTGTACGGCACCCTGATGTCCATCACCACCGGCGCAATTTCAATATTCAGGAGGTCCTCATGTAACTGAGTCGGTATAGTAGGATCTCTTGGTGGAGCAACCGCCGATAATGCAGAGTCTTGCGGAATATCGCTGGCTCGTGCGGCATTCTCCAAAGCTTTTTTTCGTGCCCGATATTCTCGGCATCTTTCCGCAGCTGTTTTAGCCGCACGTTTAGGCGGTCGGTTCGCACGTTGTCGCTCACGAAACGTTCTCACATAATCGGTACTTGTTTTCTTCGGCATTGTACTCAATCGTCCTTCAATTCTTAAAAATCGTAAACCGTGCACTATTCACTATCACTACGAATGAATTATATCAATTTTTATCGCTTAACAACACCAGAACAGTCATATTACGCAACACGAAAAACTAGTGGCTGTATCAGTACTGTATTCATGCCAAGCGACAGAGTGATGCCAGATGCGAGTCCCACAGAGCCCCCACCCCTGAACCGAGTGCTAGCGCGCAGTCATCATGGCGCATCGTGGCTGGCGCTATGTTCAAACTGTTGAATTCCATTGACAACAGTCTGCGGAGTACCGAAGACCTTTTCCAAAGCAAATTTCTATTTCAAATTTCAATTACAAACTCTAATTTCGAATTTCAATTTTAAATTTGCCGCCCAGACTTTTTCGAATTTCTTTTTCGAATTTCACTTTCAAATTCCAATTCTAATTTTAAAGAGTGGAATTATTTTAAATTTCAACTTCAAATATTAATTTAAAATTTCTATTTCAAATTTCTATTTCAAATTTCAATTACAAACTCCAATTTCAAATTTCAATTTTAAATTCCTATTCCGAGTCTCAATTTCGAATTTCGATTTCAAATTTGCCGCCCAGACTGTGGCGCACTATGACCATGTGCGAGCGATGCGCAGATGCCAATCGCGCCGGTCGCCATGACAGTTTCCCCATGAGAATTGACGGAGCCGCCATGACAGACCGCCGTATACTTGGCGAACAAATTGAATATTTTTTAAAATTAGTACATGAATAATTTAGGAATGAATTTTGGAAATTTTTGGAAATCAGTTTCATAATTTAGGAAGTAATAATTAATTAGCAATAATTAAAAAACTATTAGACCGTATACTTGGCGAAGATTGAAGATAATCGGGAAATTTTGAGGCTAATCAGTGGAAAATAATTTAGGAAATCCAAAAAAGTGATTTTCCCTATTTAGGAATGCTCCATTATATTAATAATTAATTAATAAAAGTATTACGCAAAGTCATATGACCCAGTCTCCCCCTCCATCAGGCGCGGTGGTGGGGGCCGCTGCAGTTTGGAACGGCCGGGCGGTGAAATACCCCCAAGTACTTAGCCGACACACGTCACCAATTCAAAAATCGAGCTTATGTATTCGACTGTACATCGTTAGTATATGATTGTATAATGATTTATTAGTTTGTATACCTAGCCATTAATTAAAAAAAAATGAATTAAGTTTTGGCATGATTCAGCCGACAAAAATAGTAAAGTGCTCAATCAATCCAAGTTAGAGGTCTATTTCAAAGGAAATCGTTTGTACATTACGAATTTGATACTATTATCGTTTGTACAATCATTATTAATCAGTTAAAGCTAAGGTAAATTATTATCATCTACCCCCACTCCCAGCAGGCCATTGATAGTTCCTACGTTACCGGCAATAACATTAGACTCTCAGTTCTACTGAGAACTATTGACATATATGTGATAATTACACATTCTGCATTATGACAAACAAAATTTTTGCCAACAATTTATAACCCTTGTGATCCTTGTGACCTTGTGACCTCGTGATCCTTGCGACCTTGTGATCTTGTGACATCGTGATCCTTGTGACCTCGTGATGCTTGTGACCTCGTGATCCTTGTGACCTCGTGATCCTTGTGACCTCGTGATCCTTGTGACCTTGTGATCCTTGTGACCTCGTGATCCTTGTGTCCTTGTGACCTTGTGATTCTTATTAGTATATAGATCAGTGACTTCACCGCACGGCCGTTCCAAACTGCACCGGCCCCCACCGCCGCGCCTCCTGGTGGGGGAAACTGGGTCACATGGCTTCGTGTGATACTTTTATTAATTGATTATCAATATAATGGAGCTTTCCTAAATAGGGAAAATTACTTTTTTGGACTTCCTAAATTATTTTCTACCAATTAGACTCAAAATTTCCCGATTATCTTCAATGTTCGCCAAGTATACGGTCTAATGGTTTTTTAATTATTGCTAATTAATTATTACTTCCTAAATTCTAAAAATGATTTCCAAAAATTTCCAAAATTTATTCCTAAATTATTCATGTATTAATTTTAGAAAATAATGAATTTGTTCGCCAAGTCTACGGCGGTCCATGACAGTGCTGTCTTTTTTATAATAGGATAGGATAGGAAAAAATGAGGTTAATTACCGCATGAGTTTTTTTCATTTTTTACCATTCAGCAGATAAAAACTTTCAATTTTCAAGTTCAGATGTTTAATTGCAATTTTTAATTTCAATTTTAAATTTGAATTCCAAATTTCAATTTTATATTAAAAGTTTTAATTCGAAATTTCAATTGAAGTTTTCAATTTTTAATTTTCATTCAAAATTTCAATGTCAAATTTCAATTTCCAATTCAGAATTCCAATTTCAGAATGGAAATTCAAATTTCAGGATTTTCAAAATCCAAATTTTTAATTTTGGAATTGAAGCAAATAAAAAATTTCAATTTCAGATTTTCAAGTGCAATTTTTAATCTCAATTTTGATTTTCTACTTCAAATTTCAGATTAAGAATTCCAATTGAAAATTTGAATTTCAAATTTAAATTTTAAATTAAAAGTTCCAATTTAAAATTCCAATCCAAATTTTCAATTATCAATTTCCATTCAACAGCCAAATTCAAATTTGAGGATTTTGAAATTCCAAAATTTCAATTTTGGAATTTCAAATTTCAATTTTAAATTACCCTTTCAATTTTCAATTTTCAATTTTGCATTCCAATTTCAAAATCCAAATTCGAGTTTGAGTATTTAAAAATTGCAAATTTTTCATTTTCGAATTTGAAATTTTCGAATTTCCAATCTTAGAATTACAAAGTTCAAGATTCAAAATTTCAGGATTTCGAAATTTTACAATTTCAGAACTTCAAATTTCACAATCTCAACTTTCAGAATCGCATAATTTCAAAATTTCAAAATTTCAGAAGTGCTAAATTTCAAAATTCAGAGTTCATCATTTTAAAATGCAGAATTCAGAATTTCCCAATTTTCAATTGCAGATTTCAAATATCAATTTTGCGTTCCTGATTTAGAATTTCAATTTCACGTTTAAACTCAAAATTTAAATGTAAAATACCAATTTCAAATTTCAATTTCAATATCAAATGTCAAAATTTCAAGTTATTTGAGTTTTTTTACATTTCTTACATTTATTATATTCTATAGATAAATTGCCAGTTTTTCACGTCGTAATGTAAACAAAAACTGTCTCTAGACCGAAATGCCCATCCCTGGTCTCAGGCATAGCAAGGCGTACGGCCCCACTCTAGGCTTACCCCCACTACCGATCCTTACATGTTTCGTGTCGCCTCGGATTTTCTTCACTCACGCGCGGCTCCCCTACGCTTGACTAGCCCCCCACTTACTGACTAACCCATTCCCCTCAAAACCTTTCACTTTTCGTGTCGCGCTGAAATTTTTCGTACCCTCCCTAAAGAAGTTTCACTTCAAAAACTAAAGATGTTACGTAGAACTCGGATGATCGACTTACTGAGTATTCGGCGGTCAGCGCCAGACTGAATTCGAATTCGTAATCCAATCAGGTTTTTCAAAGGTAACGCTTTGGGCATTGTGACGTCTTGTATGCGTGTGGGACTCAGGTGGCTGTGTGTCCCGCGGACGCTGATCAACACCAGCCCTTGTGTTCAGATGTTGTGAGTCGCTACAGTGCAAAATTTTACAAGAAATTCACCGTATTCGAAATTTATCAATCTATCATGGATTAGTTTTTTAAAAACGTCGTAAGAAGCGTTTCCTCATAAGATGGAAAAATGGAGTTCGCGAGGGCTCATTTCCCCCGTTTGGCCTACACTGTTAAAAATTTCTGTCTGAAATTTCCGGCACACTTTTTGGAAATTTTTATCGTATTTAATTATCACTGAAATTTCAAGGAATTTCGTCATTGAAAATTCGGGATTTCGTGGAAAAATCAAAGAGAACTGTAACTTTCAATTCCATTTTTCCCTAAAAATGAATACACGGAGAGAAATATTCCATAAAAATTACGTATCTTTTCCGTAATTTCGGAGCGAAATGTGGTTGTAGGAAATTTTACGGAACTGTCACGGAATTTTTCCAGAGCATTCAGTAATTTTTATCTGAATCTCCTGTGAAAAATTACGATACCGTCACTAAAATTTTCTGAGTCGATTCCGTAATCGGTGAGCGAATTGTGAGTTCCGTAATTTTTACTGAACATTTCTCTCTGTGTAGAAAACCAGAAAATTTCGGTAAATATATTCGTAAGATTCGTAAATATATTCGAAGATTTCACTGAAAATTCAATGTAATTTGGCACTGAATATTCACATTAGATTGGAAATTCAAATAAATTAAGGAATTCTCGTCTTTATGCTGGTAAAATTCTGGAATTTTATAGCTAGTTAATTTTTTTTTCAATAGCTGGGAAATATTCTCAACATTATGTATGAAAAATATGGGGACCATCTTATTAAGAACAACGTGTTTTCTAGGGATAGACCTTACAGAACACAATCTATCCGTTCCCAACAATCGCAGATGTTCCCCTCCCATACCATATTCCTCGTTTTACGAAACAACAAATCTTCGATCATTGTCATTACATGAATGACTGTATAATAGCTCTCATTGTCGCGCGTTATTATCCCGTGCCATTCCGCTTACTTTGCGCCCATTAGGAAAAATAACTAAAATAGAAATCTCGCTGTCATTATAAGAATTATCAATGAAGAATCCGCCGTTCTCTGAATTTATCGCTGCAATTGGGTAAAGCCCAGCGAAACGGAGGTGCTATACGTCACAGATCAAAGATGACTGTACTCTGCAGATATCTAGGCGCCTGTTTACGACTCGCAATCAGTACTGACGGTGTTACCGCGCTGAGAGGAGCTCCTCAGCCTCCTCGTGGCAAATTCAACATCTGAATATGTTCGGATCGCTCAATAAAAGTGTTTACATCTTCATAATTCTTGGTGAGTCGCAGAATTCGTGAGAAACTTATCAGAGGACTTGTGTATAATCAATCATAAATCCAACATCTTGAAATATTGATGATAAAAGTCAGGGGATGATGACAGAAAGGTCACGGATTCCCACAGAAAGAATACAAATCGCGATATTTTCCTATTGATTAATCATTTTCTACGTATTTGTAAATTCACGTAGACAGGAGGAAATTATTATACAAAAATGAATGCCCCTGGAATAACCGGTTGAGTATCCTTGAACCCGGGATTTCCTGTTCATTATGTCATATGTGGCATATTGTCATTAAAACGAAAAATTATGACCTCATAATTTATACTCATAATTTTCACAATGATTTTTCGTATTTTGGTTTAAAGTAATGTCCTTTATCAGGAATTGTTTTGAGGTCGAGTGAAGCTGATACGCCTGTCAGAGGTTCATCGAACTCGTGTAGGTAAGAGACTATTTCCAAAAAGGATTCAGTAATTATTTTCAGTTTGATGAGATGGGATTAATTCGATGAGACAGTCATGAAATGTAACTAATCAGAATTTTCCAATTGTTGAATGTTTAGTTATCTTGACAATGAGTGACTTGACACTCTGAGAAATTTTTTGAACTTCAAGTAACAGCTTCTATTGAATTTTCAATTTTGTGAATTTGAATTTAGTTCGAGATTAAATCGTTCAGTGAACTTCTTACTCGCCTGGGAAATTTAACAAATTGAGTTCATCGAAGGTCGGTAAACCATATTCGTCAAAAGGCGTCATGAGTCGATAATAATTTTTTTTTTCTATACGTTTTCAAAAAAACTATTTAAGTGTGCATTTGAACATTTTTTGAATATTGATTTTATTTATCAGATTGATTGATTTTTTTCTCATCACCTACGAGTGTCAAATAATTTTTTCGTCACACGTATTGTTATCCATGTTAATAAACATTGTTGAACTTGAACTTGAAATATCCTTGATATTGACACGCAGATTGGATCAATTTCAATGTGCAAACGGCGAATGCATAACCAGTCACTTTCTCTGCGATGGAAAAGCAGAATGCACAGACGGCAGTGATGAGACTGCCTTGCAATGCTTGAGGCCTGAAATTACGTGCCCTGAGTATGCGTTTCGATGCAGCTACGGTGCCTGCGTCGATGGTGACGCTAAATGCAATAAGAAAGACGATTGCGTCGACAGGAGTGATGAGACATTGCCGGAATGTACAGGTGCTAGTTTGACTACAACAACTAGTCGTCCTGAGTGCTCTGCCAATCAGTTCCGTTGTGGAACCGGCCAGTGTATCGTCGGAACTTCTGTCTGTGATGGGTCTCCAGACTGCGCTGATAGGTCTGATGAGACTTTCACTACATGTGGATCGAATCAGTAAGAATTGACAATTTCTTCGACCAATTCGACAATTTTTTTATACCAAAAAAATTGTCAGTTTCATCAAACGCATGAAAACATGAACAGAAAACCTAGCAGCTTCCATAGTAAATTATATTGGATTTCCATTGGAATTTTATTACAAATTCCATTTGTTTTTTTGCCAAATTCTATTGAACTATTCTGGGCAATTTTTTGACTCTCTTGGCACTCTCACCGACTAAACTACCGGGAACCACAGAAATTCACTCTCAAATTCACATTTAAAAAGAAAAAATTCAGCACCGCCCAGCCGGGATTCGAACCCGGGTCTCCCAGTTACGCGCTGGACACCTTCCCAACTTTGTATTTTTTATTTGTACCAAATACATTTATTCACCTTCAAAATACAAGACCAGCTAAATAATAAGTTAACGTATTCAAACGTATATCAATCACAATTGAAAATTCACCGTTCTAAAAACAATCAGAATCAATAAGATATCTGATGTTTATAACATTATTATTCTCCGTTTTTGAAAGAGTGAACAGTTGAAATGAGTATTACTAAAATAAATACTTGTCCAATTGGATAAATTCTCCCTTCTGTTTAATGCGCCCCCAAAAATAGGTGATTAAAAAAAGGTTTGACACCTTTCCAACTGAGCTACCGGGAGCTATGGAAATTCTCTCCAAATTCGCCTCACAAAACCGCCAAACCAACTTTAGGCATTAAATATGAAAAATGAATTGGAATTTAGAGATGAAAAAATTCCGCACCGCTCAGCCGGGATTCGAACCCGGGTCTCCCATTTCTGCGCTGGGCACTCTCGCAACTAAATTACCGGGAACTACTCGATAAAAATTAATTCACTCTTCAACATCAAATATCTGCCAAAAAACCGCACAAACTACGAAATTTTCAATAGAAATAAAAAATAATTTGTTTCCGTAGAATTTTTTCATACGCATCACACCACGAAATTCCGCGAAAGAAAATCGACTGATTAATATCAAAACTCTAGATGCCTGCCAGAGACCTTCAAATGTGCCTACGGAGCTTGCATAGATGGAGATAAAAAATGTGACGGCGTGAGGAACTGTGCGGATGGTTCAGACGAGGGAGAGGCCGCATGTAGAGGCGTGCAACCCCCCGGACCGCCAGGGAGAGAAACAACCACGTGGAGACCATACCCACCGACTCCAAAACCCTGGACCCCGAGCCCTCAGGCTGTCTGTCCACCGCCCCCAGGGGTTCAGAATGGCTACTGGAAGTTGCACTCGTCCCAGTGCCCGAACAAGAATGACCACTGCGAACCTAGAGCGGGGATGGACATGTTCCCAGGAACACAATTGACATATTTTTGTAATAATGGGTATCAGTTAACGGACGGGGCGGATGTCTACTGCACCAGTGGGGGAAGATGGTCGGATATTCCCCGATGCGAAGGTGAGGATTGTTCAGAGGGTACCATGTTAACCCTAGATTGGTCACCATATGAGGAAAACCCAGCCTCGCGACGTTTTTCTTCAACTCTTAAGGGGAAACGGAGCCCCTGCGTTTATATGAATCTTTAGAATTGTGTTCTCTCCTGCAATTATTATTATTTATTCATTAAACTACTTCATTGACTCAACAATGTGATCATCGACTTGATACAGTAATGTCATAGATAGAAATTAATAATTGTAGGAGAAAACACAATTCTAAGATTTGATGTAGACAAAGGGATTCCGTCTCCCCTTAAGGAGTAACAGAATGCTGTTAATTTTCCAAATTTTTGAACAAATTATCGATATTTTTACGACTCGAAGCACATTAATCTCCAGGAGGTGATGATGAAGATCAATGCGCTTTGGGTTGGAAAAATATTAATAACTTTGAGTAGCAAATTTGTTAAAGAAATTTCGAGGAAACGGTGCCTTAAGGGAAAACACCCTTAAGTGATCGCGTCGTGAGAGAATCGCCACCGTTTTTGATTTTTGGTTTTCACACAATAACTTGAATGAAAAATCCATAAAAATTTGCATTCCTATTTTTAAATATATGAAACACATCAATATCTTTTTTTCGGCCCAGACTAACACCAATGAATTATTCAAATTTTCTGAAAACTCGACTCGCTGAAAATCCCCATATTTAACCTCAAAATTTTATAATTTTGCACTTTTTCAAATCAAGTTCTCCGGGTATCTGCCAACTACTTCGCTTCCATACCCCCATTTCCTATTTAAGGAAAGTTCAAAATTACCTGTGAACGTGGAATAAATTTTTTTTGTTCAACTTTTTTTTCTCGAAATCGTAAAATACACGGAGCGGGGATTCTCTTACCATGCGATCAATGTTCGCTGAAGAGCTGCGACAAGGGTTAATTACAATTGACTGGCTAACCGGAAAAATTCAAAAAAATTTGACTTTGTCAATTGAAGTGTTTGAAGAATTATAGTAGTTTTCAGAACTAAACATTCTCCGAAATTCGTAAAGAATGCAAATTATTTCGAACAGATGAATTATTTTTTCCCCTGTTGAATGAAAATGTCCATGACGCGACGTTGTCGGAAACTCGCTAAACCCCCCCGGGCAGTGTAGAGTGGATTCGGCAACGCTAGAGCCTAAATAACACGGCGGGGAATCCCCGCGGAAATGCCCAAAGTCGCAGGATCGCGTTTGGTAACGAGACTAAGGTTAACCCTCGATCACTTGCTCAATGAGCGCTGCACCGCCCGTCTTCGTTTTTTTAAATATTTTAGCGTGTTTCTCGATGCTTAAAAATTCTGAAAAAAATAGAGTTCCTAGTCCAGTCCTCTTATTAAGCGATGGCGTTGTCCGTTTTTTCCTCGGGAAATTTGTTTAGCTACAAGAAATCTGCGGGTGGCTGTATCTTTGATGCAGCCGTAATTTTACGTGGCTACGTCGATGGTTTTCCCTGTCCTTTACTGGACATCATCGTTTTTTATGTATATATTTATTTACGTACGAGATCAGCCGCACGTGCTGCGCACGCGCCTTCTCATCTCTCACGTAGTGGCGCTTCGGTTTCAGTCTTACGCTTATTCGAGATTTTCGAGATCGATTTCCTTTCTCCTTTTTACGATAGGATATGAGAACAAATAGGGATTTCGCCCCGTCTCGGCATAATAAGACGTTTTTTATAATCCCGATACGATTGAATTGTTATATGCAACCAAAATTCCTAAAGTTCAACATATTTCATTCACAACGAAATCGTCACATACAAACACCCTTGCAAATATTAACACGGATCTCCACGAATTTCATCTATTTCGTGCAATAATAACCAACATTCGGTAAAAATTGGTATTTATGTCTAAAAAAGGGAGAATTTTCTTGAATTTTCTAAAAAAAAAAAAAACTTTTCCAGAAAACTGGAATTTCTTTGAAAAATCTAGAATTTTTTAGAAAATTCTAGAATGTTCAAGAATTTCGATAGATGGCACAACTATCGATAAGGAACCATAAGGATTTTTTTCCTAAATGCCCCTCCCCCCCCCACCCCACGCAATGAAACGTTCAACCACTCGCTGAATGTAATATCACTGTCAAAAAATATTGTTCGACACATGTGATACGGGAATTTTCACGAGTGTGATTGGCTTCGCCTCGAGCCGCCAACTTCGTACTCGTGACAATTCCGTCTCACTTGTATCGAAATATACTATTTTGACGTTGCTGCTATGTTCACTTCGTGCCGAAAAGTGCCTTTTCGTTTACTTGTAAACCAAAAATAAATGAAAATTCGTGTCGTATCCATAAACGAAGTATCATTTTCATCAGGAGAAATGATCATGAGTATCATAAAGACATTGAAACATATTTTTAGTTTTTTTCAAAATGAATTTCAAGCGTTTTTTCTACAGAAATTCGATGCAGAGTCCTTGACACACCATCGACGAAAGCAGATTGCAGTCTTAATGGTCAATGGAGATCTTGTGCGATACCAGTGCTGCCAGGAACTCAAGCAGATTTATCTTGTCGCAGCGCTTATCGTCGGGAGGAGTCAATCTTTCAACGAAATCATGTCACGTGTAATTCACAAGGGCTGTGGGAACCAGAGCCAATACAGTGCATTCCAGGTCCGATTGTTATCAACATTCATGTCAATGGAACTACTCTCACGATTGATAGTATTTCTCCTGGGAGTTGTAATGTCACGAAAATTGTGGAGATAAATCAAAATAAAGTTGTGATTTATGGGGAACGGGACACCAATGATCAGCCTGATATTGATGTTAGGATTGGATAGGCCTATTGATCATATTTTTAACTATTCAATTTTAAATACTCGTTGACAACCAAAAAACTGATGAAGTTGAGAGAATGCAGGTGACAAAAAATGCATTCGAATTTGTGAAGAATGTTGAAACCCACGTGGTAATAAATAAATGTATTCATTAAAATGAAAGGAAACGAGAGAAAAAAATAAGATTAACAAAAGAGAGAGTCAACATCAGAGAAGAAGTTTAGTGGAATGAAAAGAATGCATGCCCGATAAAATATATTCTAAAGTAAAATTAGACGTTCGTAAGAATATGTTTTCCACTTGTCAGAAGAATATTCTCCTACTTCTGTTGGGTGAAACAGTAATTATAAATACTCAACTGCCAAACTTGATTTTATATTTTGTGATTTTGGAAATTTATTCCTCCAAAGAATATTTAAGTCTGGATTTTAGAAGATTTAGTGATATAATATAACCAAAGTAGAAATTCTTGTTACCAAACTCGATGTATACCCTATCTCACATATGAACAAGTTTCATAGAAAAATCTAGCGAATTCGCTGGGCAATTCTATTGAATTCCTTTTGAACTTTCTATTACTGTTTGGCATATACTATTGAAATGTTGTACAGAAAAAGTTGATAGAATTTGATGTTTCTATACACCTTATTCTATTGGGATATTTTTTATAAAATTTCCTCGGCTCAAATTTTCCAAGTTTTTTGTTTGATTTTCTCGATGAAAAGAAAAAAAAATTGAATGAAAAAAAAATTGAAAATTTAAATCCAAGAAAAAATATCTTAACAAAATTAGTTGCATCACAAAATCGAATTCTATTGAATTTTTACATAGAATCGACCAAAAAATAATAGAAAGTTTCATAGAAATCCAATAGAATTATCTAGCGAATCCGCTCGGTTTTTCTATTATATTTATTCGTGCGTGCCCCTATAAACTACCAATAAATATGAATAATTGATCCTTTAATTCGCAACCTCAGTATTAAGAATGTTATGTAGAAAGAAAATAGAAATTAGTTGTACAAGACTAGGAATATAATCAATAAAGAATGCAAAAAAATGTGAACTATTTCGATAATTTCGGAATACATTTGAATTTTTTATTTCCACGGATGGGTTCCTAGTAGAAATAGCATCATTAACTAATATTATTTATGAATCAAACACATTAAAACTACATGAGGCAATTTTGCAAGTTGAAGGATGAATTATCATGAATCATTTACGGATTAATTTACTGGGAACCGGGGTTTTGCAAGAAATTTTTTTACTCCTCGATATGAAAATCGGATGAGAGAGATGACATGCATTTTTTTAATTTACTATAAATAATGAAGTAGACCATAAGTCATAGATATATGTTGATTCCATTGATTCAATTAACTCTAGATGCTCGATTTTGCAAATAAAAACAATACATATCCAATATTTTTCCTCCCATTTTCGGATTTCATCGTTTTGTTCAATTAATAAATTTACTGCAACCATTCAATTAGACAAATATATTGCAGTGTGTGGACTTAAACCATCAAAGTTCGTGAAACCCCTGATAGTGGATGGATGGATGCCGAATATAACCGACTTTCCCTGGCACGCGACGCTGTACGAGACAAATTCTGAGAACTCTGTAAAAAAATTCATCTGTGGAGCCACAGTAATCACAGAGAATTTATTAATAACCGCTGCTCATTGTATATTCGATGAAGGGACTAAAAAGTCGAAGAAACCCGAAAAGTTTTTAATTTCTGTTGGAAATATCTACAGGGACTATGACTACACGGACTATCCCCCACAACTAGAAGTCAGAAAAGCAAAAGTTAGTGAGGAAAACACGTGTGAAAAAATTCAATAGAAAACCTAGTGAATTCTTTAGAACATTCTATTGGAATTCTATCGAAATTCTATGGGGTTTATATAGGATTTCTATTGTAATTCTATTGAAAAATTCTATTTGTTTTTTGCGCTGATTCTATTAGATATTCGATAAGAAAGAGTCAACAGATTTCGAATTTATGGGCGAATTTTTCTCCTGAGATTTTTTCTGTTAGAAATTATTGGGCACAAATTTTCCAAGTTTTTTCCGCTAGATTTTATTTTGTTTTGCATTGCAGAATGCAAGTGGAAAAAACATGGAAAATTGCCAACAGAAATTCAAAATCCTACTGACTTTTTCTTATTGAATATCCAATAGAATCAGCGCCAGAAACAAATAGAATTTTCCAGTAGAATTCCAATAGAAATCCTGTAGAAATCCCATAGAATTCCTACAGAATTCCAGAAGAATTTACTGGGTTTTCTATTAAATTTTTTCATGCGTGAAATGCAACAACTAATGAAATCGTTGAACAGGATGAAATGAACAAATTCATGAAATTTTCACAGGTAACAAACATCTACATGAACTGTGATTATCAAGGATACAAGGGTAACCACAACCAAGACATTGCGATTCTTCGAGTAGAGCCTTCCCTCGATTTCAAATCTTACTTGGTGCCAATATGTCTCGATACGACAGCAAGAACTCTCGCCATTGATATAGGTACACTTGGACAAGTAGCCGGATTTGGTAGAACAGCAACAGGATCCTCCAGCTCGATAATTCGGGCACTATCAGTGCCAGTGGTGCCTAAGAACAAATGCATTGAACAGGCTAACGAGGTGAATGGCGGAAATTTCATTACTCCGGATAAATTCTGCGCTGGATATACAAACGGTAAAAATTCCCTATAATTGACAATTATATTAGGCGACTTAGTCACCGATTCTTACGTTTTGAGCCATGCTAGCATAGAAGACAAGATCAATTTACCACTTTTTTTTTTTCAAAACAAAAAATAGAAATCCAAACCGACTTTTTTTTTTCCACCGACGCCGGTGCCCAAGTGGGCTAGACGCAAGTTTAGTGTGCGAAAGGTTGTGAGTTCGATTCCCCGTGGAACCGAATTTTTCAACGAAAGGCGCCGGCGAGCGGGAGGTTGCTAATAGAGTAACGCGATTATCTCGGAAACTATGAGAGATAGAGCCTTAAAACCTATTCCATTCGATTCCTGAGGAAATTTGGGTTCCGTATAGGC